TATACATATCTGTGAACACATGTTTGACTTTAGGCATAAAACTCTGTGAGTAGAATGAATATACTATAAAGTTGCACCTAGCTGAGGCTATATAGCTTACTGCTGTCATTAAATAGGTACTTTTAAATATATTTTTTAATTTCAAGAAAGGCAATTTTAGCTTTAATAAATCCAAATTAAAAAATGTTAAGAACTTTGCTTAAGACTTAAAGCCAGGAAACAGGTTAGGATTCTTCAAATAGTAGGTACACCGACCTGTCAACAACTCAAGACAAGACAAAAATCCTTAACTCTGAAAAACAAAGCATAGACACAGATCAGTAATGCAGTCAAAAGTCATAAAATTCTGGGACCAGCAGTTAGTGTAATGGCTATGTCGCTGGACTCTCATGTAGTTGACTATGGTTTGATTCCCGGACCCGGTGGCTTAAACTCACGCCGGGCGTGTGTGCGTGCGTGTCCAAGATCCCAAGAGGAGAATGGAGGAGAAGGGAGTGCAGCGTGGCCATTCCCCCGGGGGGTGATTTCTCGCTTTCTGTCTCTCTGTCTCTCTCTGGCGAGCACGCACACCCTATAGCAAAAAAAACTCTCCAAAAAAAAGAAAAAAAAGTCGTTAAAATTCTATTTTACCAGTTCAGTCTCATGTACTTAATCTATCTTCTGTTGTGGTCCAATCGTTCCGTTTAAATTCTGGAAGATAATATTTAACTCCGGACTTGCCCCTACCATTAAGCTAGCTGTTTTCTTAGTTGTTTTTTAACTCTTATTTCTGCGTGTCTCACTTAAGTTTCCTGATACATAACACTCCCTTTAGAACTTCTTGGAGAACTGGTTTGGTATCTGGTAAATTCTTTCAGGTTTTATCTGAGAATGTTCTTGTGTTCTCTTCCCATATGAAGGATACTCTTGCCGAGTATAGTATTCTTGGTTGAAATTGTTTTTCACTCAACACTTTGAATATATTTTCCCATTCTTTCCTTACTCACATTACTTCCGATGAGCGATTCAGTTAGCCTGATGGGATATCCTTTGTAGGTAACTTGATGTTTCTCTGTTGACAAATTTTAGTATCTTGTCTTTGTCTGTGGTTTTGGTCAATCTAGTTATAATGTGTCTTGGAGAAGATCTTGGGTTGATTCTATTTGGGGTCCTTTGTATTTCTTGGGTCTGGATCTTTGAATGTCTCTCTAAGTTTGGAAAGTTTTCTTCCACGATTTTATGGAATAGATTACCAATGCCTTTATTAGTCTTTTCACTTTCTGGGATATTGATTATCCAGATGTTTAGACATTTAATAGTATCTATTTTTTGTATATTATTCTCATTTTTGGGGGCTATTTTTCTCAGTCTTCATGGTAGATTTTTCTAGTCCACCGATTCTGTCTTCTATATCTGAGATCTATCTTCTGTAGGATCTAGTCTGCTTTTAATAATATCAAGGGAGGTTTTCACTTCCCGTATGATAGCCTTTATCTCTAACAGTTTCATGTTGTTTTATGGTGCGTATTTCCTCTTTCAGATCATGCAAGAACTTCCTCACCTCCTGGAACTGATTGGCTCTTTTCTCCTGGCTGTTCTGCTGTTCATTGTTTCTCTTCTCTTGCATCTGTTAGCTTTGTCACTATAAATATTCTAAATTCTTCATCAGACATTTATGCAAGTTCCATTGGTCTGTCTGTCTGTGGATAAAGTGGAGTTATTCTTTTCCCTTGGAGGAAAGATATTTTCTAGGTTTCTCATACTTCTTGTGCTTCTGCAGTGATTTCTAGTCATCTCATGGGTTATACGTTTCTTCCTAATTTCTAGAAGTTCAATCTGAACATTTAGAGGCAAGCAGTAGGAGGTGATCTGCAGTGTCATTGCCATTCTTTTTTTCTCCCTTCATGTGGCAAAATCAGTGGGGATTGATAAATATGTTGACCCTAATAGTATTTGGATGTTTAGCTACATTCACTTAGACCTGTCTAGACAATGAGTGGAGGCTAGCAGCAAAGTGATGAAGGTAAAAGGAAAAGAATTATAAATAAATAAGGGAAAAAAGAGAGATAGAAAACAGGAAAAAAGTCAACCAAAAAATTTATTTTTTAAAAAAACAATGAAAACTTTTTGGTGCTATTGCACGGTGGTGCAAAGCACTAGTTCTCAGCTCTAATGGAGGAGTCAGTCTTCTGAAGGCCTGCCCTTTTGCCTCTCCTAAATGGGAGGGAGGAAAGAGGATTATTAGACAAAGAGAGATAGAAGGATACAGGGATCCCTTCCAGTAAAGAATGGGATCTGGAGGGTGAAATCACAGCAGAAAATCTTCATTACTCTTAGTCCCTGAAATCACTAGCTCTCAGTTCCAATAGAAGAGTCAGTCTTCCTCTAAAGGCCTGCACTTTTGCCTCTCCTCTTGAGAACGGGGTGTGGCGGATGAAGTTTCAGCAAAAAAAAAACATTATTCTTATTAGTCCCTGAAAGCACTAGTTCTCAGCTCCAATAGAGAAATCATTCTTCTGAAGGCATGCCCTTTTGCTTTTCCACTTGAGAATGGTGTGTGGAGGGTGAAGTCTCAGCAGAAAATCTTCATTAGTTTTAGTCCCTGAAAGCACTAGTTCTCAGCTCCAATGGAGGAGTCAGTCTTCTGGAGGCCTGCCCTTATACCTCTCCTCCCTCATTTCTTGATACATGAAAATCTAACTATTCTGGGGTGCTAACCATTATTCTATTTAAAGTAAATTAAACCATGGAATCACTAGATCACTAAGGGTAAAACCAATTTTGAACCTCTTAACAAACAACAAAGTTCCAACTTTTTTCTCCTTTCTCATGTATAATAAGGGTCTTTATTATACCAAAACAATCAATTATAAAAATACAATCAGGGGGGTAATAAAATAAATACCTAGTATGAAAACTAAAACTCTAGCTTTTTAAAAGTTTATTTTTCTCATGAGAGGGAGACAGAGAGACAGGGACAGGCACCCTGAAAGGGGTCCTGATGCCACAATCGACCCCAACTTCAACAGCCTGGATAATGGGACATGCACATGCACACCTGGCATGTTAAGGGAAGTTCTAAGATGTGAACTCAGGACCTTTCTCATGTACATCCAATTGCATTACCAAACCACCACCATCTGGCCCCAAAAACACCATCTTTTTTCTTTTTTTTTTTTTTTGCGAAATGTTTGCTATTGGGCATGTGCACTTGGTAGAGACACAGAGAGACAGAAAGCAAGAAATCTCACCCTGAAGGGGATGGCTATGCCACAATCCCTTCTCCTTCATTCTCAGGATTTTGAGCATGCACGAACATGTGCTCAGTGTGAATTTCAAGTCACCAGGTTTGGTACTCAAACTGTGGTTGACCATGTGCAAGTCCATCACCTTAACCAGCATGCCACCTACCGGTCCCAAAACTCCATCTTTTGAACTGAAATCTTCATGATTCAACCAGCTGTTGAAAGTTTGGGGTTTTTAAAAAAATACAGTCCATTTCTTTCTTAAATTATTTCTATCATTAGGAAGGCTTAATTGGTTGTGGATGCACTAAAGAATATAATAGGTATATTTTGTGGATTCGCTAAAGAAGCAGGATAGACTTTCACTCAAAATTTGGTTTGCATATTGAGACTGATGGTGCATATATATGCCAATAAGGTACGAAAAGGTTTTTCTATTCATATAATAAAGCTTTCTGGGAGACCAAGACAAACCTTCCAGCATGGTCTGAAAATGTCTTAGGAAAGCAGGGAAGGAGACTGGCTTGAGTTTTCATGACAGTTAAAAAGCGGGGCTAGGATGACGGTTCCCATACATGGTTTGAACTTCCTGTTGACATCAAAGGAAGGGAGCAATCAGACTTTCTTAGTTTCATCAGATGTGGAGTATAAGGGGGAAAAGAAGTTTAAGATCTGTCAGCAGTCACATCAAAATATGGAGTCAGACTTTCTATTACTTGATAACTCAATCCAACCAATTTAAAAGCACAAAATACAAAGAAGATACTGACCAATATGTTTATATAATTTCATCAAACTTTAAATATCTTCATTTAAACTACAATTAATTGACAAAAATATAAAATATTAAGATAAGTTGCTTTATATTAAAGACAGAAAACAAAGTTTTAAAAAATATTTTATTTAACTTAATTAATTAATTAATTTTTAATTTGACCAGAGAGGGACAGAGAGAGAGAGAAAGTGAAAAAGCAAGCCACCAGGTCCAGGACTCAAACCATGGTTGGCCACATGGGAGTCCAGGATCCTTAACTACCATACCACCTGCCAGCCCCGGAAAACAAAATTTTAAATGTTCTTCACAAAAGGTGTAAACAAAGAAATGTTTTAACAAGATTACCAATGAAAACAACAATCCAATTTTCAGAAATTACTCTAATTTTTCACATTTCATTTTCTTTCATTAAAAATATTAGCATAACTAATAGAATCTTACCACTTGTTGCATTACAAGAAAATAAGATTTTATTCACTATCAATTAAACAGTCTTTGAAATTATTAGAATACTACCCTATGTACTATCAACAGTGAAGCATAAATGAAACCTAAGAATTTTTTTAAAAAATTTTAGTAGCTCAAGTACACCTCAGCACTAATTCTCACATTTATGACTAAAAGGTCTTCTGATGTCCTTAAGGAGTTCTTTTTTTAAAATCAAAGCACCTAATATACTACCAGAATAAAATTTAGGTTCCAGAGAGAAGCTGGCTTAATATTTATAATAGTGATTAATGGAAAAAAGATCAAATTCTAATAAGATTAATAAAATTTCTGCCTGAACATGGGCTGCAAAATAAATAGTAATTAACTAAGGCCACTAATAAAAACAAAATACTCAATATTTAAATATTTAAATAAATATAATCAAACAATATAACTATGGTAACTCATTATTGCTTTAATCAGCAAATGAAAATTGTATTAATGTTTCAATAATGTAAATTTATGCCCTAGCAGATTACATAGTAAAATAATTTAAAAAATTAATAACTAGTTCAGAAAAAAGTAAACTGTGTTGTATTTTGTGAGGAAGATGAAAAACCTTTTAAAGAAGAAGGTACTGAGTTTTGATCCTGTACAAATGAAAATGGAAAACTAAAATCATCTTTTCCAGCTCCAAATGTATGGGTTGAAGAGTCTGAAGGAAAAGAAAATGTAAATGCATCTTCTCCTTCTGGTTTTCCAAATAAGTTACCTGAGGAAGATAAAAATTACAGCATCATGCTACTGGTGTTATATAAAATTTGCATGACCTACTAAAATTACAGTATACTGCATACAATAAATAGAGTAACACTGAATCATTTATCTATTTAGCAAATATTTAACTGTATTCCTCTTACAGGCAAGGCATTGTCCTCAGTACTAAAGAGACTAAAACTTAAACCCGACATTCAAGTAATTGTAATTCAAATATATCAAGAACTAGTATACAAAGTAGAAAGTGGGATGTAACACCAGAAGAGAAGAAAGAGAATAGCACAGAGGCACAAAAACATGCATACACAGGAAATATTAGAATAACAGAAATCAGTTCATCTTGGCAGGAGCACTGAGAACTAAAAAAGATGTATTAAATGGAAAGTAATGAAGAAGGGCTTGGAAAGAAGGTATATATTATCACTATATATTATCATTTTGTAGATAATAGGAAGCCAGTAAAGGTTTTCAATCAGAGACATGACCTGATTTGACCTGCTTTATAAAGTTTATTCAGGAAAGAATGTGTAGAAAGGCTAAACCATAGGATAATCAAAAGAAAAAAAATCCTATTGTCCACCCATTATAATCTTAGCAAAGGAAATGAAAAAAAAAATTGCTGGATCTGAGATGTACTGCATAAGTCACATTTATTCAACTATATTTATTAACTACAATATACCATTCATGATATTGTTCAAGGAGATTGATAAATACTGATGAGTTATACAGTTTTAAAAGGATTTTTTGGGGGAGGGGGCTGAAGGACACATGTATTCACTGGAAATAGACAGAAAGAGACAAAGTGAGAAACTACCTCCCCCCTCTCCCTCAGGGTTGATGACCATACCAATATCCCTTCCCTTCCATTCTCTTCTTAGAATTTTAGGCATGCATGCACACATGCATGACATGTGTTTCAAGCTGCCATGTCTGGAACTCTAGCTGCAAAGTCTGCCATGTGGGATCCAGCCACCTCAACCACCATGGCACTGGCTGGTTCTTAAAAGGAATTTTTAAATATGAGAACATGTACCCTATGGGCAAAAGGAAACATAGAGTCCTTGAATTAAAGGAATCTGTGATCTAGAAGAGATTTCACATATATTTATAAATAACTAATGATAGAAAGTGAAATTTTAAAAGTATAAAAAAAGAAGTATCATTCAGAAAAGTGAGGGATGAATCTTTTTTAGAATAGAAGATTGAGGGGAGAGGGACCAGCAGTTGGTGTAATGGCTATGTCGCTGGACTCCCATGTAGTAGACCATGGTTTGAGTCCTGGACCCGGTGGCTTAAACTCACGCCAGGCGCGTGTGTGCCCAAGATCCCTAGAAGAGAATGGAGGAGAAGGGATTGCGGCTTGGCCATCCCCCCTGGGGGGTGATTTCTCGCTTTCTGTCTCTATGTGTCTCTCTGTCTGTCTGGCGAGCGCATGCACCCTATAGCAAAAACCTCTCTAAAAAAAAAAAAGGAAAAAAGAAAAAAAAGAGGGAGCCACTAATGGTATCTAACTGGGACAGTGACATGGCCAATATTATACATATGGAAGATTATTAAGGTTTAGACCATAGGAAAACTGAGAGGACAGAAAGACCAATTAGGATGTTACTGCAGTAATCAGAGTAGATGATTAAGAGCTTGAAACATAATGGTTTAAAGAAAAATAGAAAAGAAAAAAATATTTCCATATGGGACCGGCAGTTAGTGTAATGGCTATGTTGCTGGACTCCCATGTAGTCTACTGCAGTTAGAGTCCCAGACTCAGAGACTTAAACTCACGCTGGGCGTGTGTGCGTGCGTGCCCAAGATCCAGAGAGAATGGAGGAGAAGGGATTGCGGCTTGGCCATCCCCCCTGGGCGGTGATTTCTCACTTTCTGTCTCTCTGTCTGTCTCTGTCTGGTGAGTGCACACGCCCTACAGTGAAAACCTCTCCAAAAAAAAAAATTTTTTTTCCAAAAAAGAACTGATAAAACTTGATAACTAGCTAAATGCAGTCATAAGCATAGAGGGAAGTTAAAATTATCACTGATATTCTGAATCTTGGCAACCAGAATAATGGAGGTATCATTAGGGAAATCAGAAAGAGAACAAGTTGGATTTCAGATATGCTGAGGTTTGTTTTGGGGGGGAGGTTTTTACCATAAGGCGCATGTGCTCGCCAGACAGAGAGAGACAGAGAGACAGAAAGCGAGAAATCACCCCCCAGGGGGGATGGCCACGCCGCAATCCCTTCTCCTCCATTCTCCTCTCCGGATCTTGGGCACACATGCACACACAACTGGCATGAGTTTTAAGCCACCAGGTCCGGGACTCAAACCGCGGTTGACTACATGGGAGTCCAGTGACATAGCCATTACGCTAACTGCTGGTCCCAGATATGCTGAGTTTTTCATGTCAAAAGATGGCTAAGATATAAAGAGATTTCAATTACATGATCAGAAATAAGGTCAGAGTTTAGAAGAAGTCAGTGCAGGAAGATATGAATTTTGTCATCATCTGTATTATGTTTCAAAATACTGAAGTGAATGAGCGTCAAATGAATGAGAATGTCAAAAAAGAGAACTTAAGTAAATTTAAAATTTTAGATGACACTGATGTAATAAATGTCTATAATCAGTAAATTCCGGGGACCAGCAGGTGGTGTGGTGGTGAAGGTGCTGGACACTCCCATATGGCTGACCGTGGTCCGAGTCCTGGCTCTGGTGGCTTGCTTTCTCACTTTTCTCCCTCTCTCTCCCTGTGTCTCTCTCTGGTCAAAATAAATGAATGAATAAATAAAATAAAATAAATAATTATTTTTTAAAAATCAGTAAATTCATCCTCATCTGACAGCATAAATATCATTTATAAAAATCCCCAAATCTATGTCTCTATCACATTGAATTGCAGATTTATATATGTGTAACTTCCTCCTTTACTTTCACTTAATTATCTAATAAATGAGTTTTCAATTATAACACTTACAAAACTAAATCCCTAGATATTTCCAATCTAAAATTAATTTCTATAGCCTTGGTAACTTCATTATTACAAGTTATGCATGTCAAAACCTAAGCATAGTGCTTGTTTCTCTCTGTCCTTTTATCTAGTCCATAAACAAATACTTCCATATCTATCTTCAGAAAACTTGATAGCCAAAATCAGATATCTTCTCCTCACTTCCATCCTAGCTATCATCAATGCGCACTTGTATTAATTTAATAGCATCTTGAGACCAGCAGGTGGTATAGTGGTTAAGACGCTGGATTCCCACATGGTCTACCATGGTATGAGTTCCAGACCTGGGAGCTTGAACATCACTTTGACATGTATGCATGTGTGCCCAAAATCCTGAGAGGAGAATGGAGGAGAAAGGGTTATGGTATAGCTATCCCCCCCAAGGGGTGATTTCTTACTTTCCCTCTCTCTGTTTCTCTCTCTCCAGCAAGTACATGTGCCCTATGGCAAATAAAAATTAATTGATTTTTAAAAACTTTAAAAATAAAAAAGTGCCTCAATCTGTCTCCTGCTTTTGCCCTTTTTCTATAGTCTTTTCTCCACATAGCAACCAGAGTAATTCTTTAAAAACTGGTCATATCATTTCCATCCTTTTCTCAAAACCCTCTAATGGGCCTAGCCATAGTGACAGGGCAACCACTGAACAATTCTAGAGCCATATGGAAAGTTTTAGGGTTCAAATTCCTGGTCAACATGAACATGTAGGATATGCCCATGAGCACACTCATGATCCTGGCTAGCTGGTAGGCTACGGGGAGGATCACAGTGCAGCAGGATCCTGTTAGGGATCTCTCTCACTAACAAGAAATAAACAAACAAAACAAAAACCCTTAAAAAACAATAAAACCCTACAAGACTTCCTATCTTACTCAGAAAAGAAAAAAAAAAGTCCTTAGTCTATAGGTCCCACATTGTTTCTCTTCCAACCTGTCTGATTTAATCTATTTATTTCTCCTTCTTTATTTATATCTATATTCCATGATATATTTATATCTATTTATTCCATTCTAATTATACCAATTTACCTGCTTTCCAATGAACATATTGAGCATATTCCCATTCAAAGATCTTTTCACCCTTTGCCTGAAACAACTTTCCCAGTTTCTTATATCTGCACCTTCTTTAGGCCAGCCAAACCCTCTTTTTCTTTATAAAATCATGTAGTCTCAAGTATTTCAGTTAGCAATGCAATAATGAACTCAGAAAAGAGCTCTGCTCAAATGTTATCCTTTAGTGATGTTTTCCTTGACTTTCTTGTAACATAGCAACCACTTTCCCAATCCAACTACTCCCTATTCCCCCTATTCTGATTTACTTTTCTTTGTAGTATCAAGCCTGGGCTGATTGGGATCCACCAGAAAAACAAACAAACAAACAAACAAAAAACAAAAACAAACTTTGGAGTCTGACTTCTCACAGCACCGTTTTCTTAGAAAATACAAAATTAAGGAAAATAAAGATTGTTGTCTCTGTCTAGTCTGCTATGTAGGACTGCCCCTGAATTACAGGAGCTTTGAGTTTAACATACAAGCATGAATCTCATGACTATAGAATGACATAAGAGACTGGTGGGAACTGAGGCTGCAATTTATATGTAAAGGTGACACCTAAAACTCATACATGTACCATGACTCTTCTCCATAGCAGCCTGACATGTCCCAGGTGGGTAAGGTGGCAAAAGGAAGCTATTACCAGGCTAGCTTATTACTTCAATAGCTTATCGGCCTCTCAATAAGACAAAGATCCTGTATCTGCCACTATCTCCTAATTTTATCTTTCTATAAAGTAAAGCAAATGCAGTATTAGATTAAAAACTGTAACATGTGAGTCTGACTGCCAGTCCAAACCCATAACAACTGCTATTTATGTTGACATATTGGTCTATTTTTTCTCTCTCTCACTAGAACATAAATCCTCTGAGAATTTTGCATTGTCTATTGTTCTCTTACCAGAGACAAAATCAGTACCTTATATAAAATATAATATAATATAATACACACACACACACACACACACACACACACACACATATACATATTTACATTTACATGTTGGAAGAATTACAATTGATAGATAAAAGAAGATCTAATAAAAAAGTAAGCACCAGAAAGATAGGAAGAAATCCAAAATATCTCAGAAAGAAATCCCATCAAAAATTGCCAAGGGATTATGGTAATAAATACAAGATACCCATAATATCTGATATTTGGGAAGATATTAGTAATCTTAGAGAAAGCAAGTTTTGGTAAAACAGAGGAAAAATTAAGTTGTTTTAAAAAATGATCAGTGAGTACTGCAGAAATAACAGTAATTTTTAAAGAATAAGCATCTAAAAAATCAGTTAAAAATAATCTAAATACTAACAGGAAAACTTAACTTTTTTTTTTTTTTGAGAGGTCTCTGCTATAGGGTGTGTGTGCTCGCCAAAAAGACAGAAAGAGACAGAGAGACAGAAAGTGAGAAATCACCCCCCAGAGGGGACGATGGCCATACCACAATCCCTTCTCCTCCATTCTCCTCTCAGGATCTTGGGCACGCACGCACACATGCCCGGCATGAGTTTAAGCTACTGGGTCCGGGACTCAAACCATGGTTGACTACATGGGAGTCCAGCAACATAGTCATTACACTAACTACTGGTCCCAAAAACTTAACATTTTTATATGTAGTAAATTTCAAATCACTTACCAATTTCTTGTTGTGATGAGAGAGGATTTAAATTTCCTGCCGAATAATGTTCATTAAACTGGAAAATAATTTTTATTAAATACTTTTGAAATCAGTTTAACAGTATATATTACATTTTTATTTGAATCTAAAGCCTTACTATTCTAATACACAGAATTAGAGTATACATAAGAGCAACTTTCTATATAGCACACTTAAAAAGTGACCTATCCAGGCCAGCAGGTAGCATGGTGATTAAGGCTCTGGACTCCCATATGACCGAATGCAGTTTGAGTCTTGGGTCTGGCAGCTTGCTTTCTCATTTTTCCCTCTAGATAGAATCTGTTTCTGGTCAAATTAAATAATAATAGTAGTAGTAGTAATAATAAATAAAATAAAATAAATAATATATTTTTTAAAAATAGTGATCTACTAGGGCCAGCAGATGGCATGGTGGTTAATGTGCTGGATTCTCACACGACTGACCACAGTTCGAGTTCCAGACATGGTGGCTTGCTTTCTTACTTCCTTTCTTTTTTTCTCTCTCTCTCTGGTGAGCACACAGGCCATATAGCAAATTAAAATAATAATTACTATTGGAACCAGCAGTTAGTGTAATGGCTATGTCGCTGGACTCCCACGTGGTCAACCGCGCGGTTCGAGTCCTGTACCGGGTGGCTTAAAACTCATGCCAGGCACGTGTGCATGCGTGCCCAAGATCCCGAGAGGAGAATGGCGGAGAAGGGATTGTGGCATGACATCCCCCCTGGGGGGGGGGGGTGATTTCTCGCTTTCTGTCTCTCTGTCTCTCTCTGTCTGGTGAGCGCACGCACCCTATAGCAAAAAAAACTCTCAAAAAAAAATAATTACTATTATAATAAATAAAATTAAATAAGTAATTCCTTAAAAAAATACAAAATCTGTATTTTGATCTTCAAAATCTGTCATTTACTTATTAAAATAAGGCCTATTGATTTGATTCTGGCAATAGATATTAATAGGTAGGCCAGTAGTTGGCATAACAGTGAGGGTGCTGGATTCCCACATGGCCAATGATGGTTTGAGACCCAGACATAGTGGAGCATTTTTCAGATTTGTAATATATAAAATTTGTTTAAAAGTTGAACCTATTAATATTTTAAAAAAGTCAAATTCATTTTTAAACTACTTTAACTGAAATTTAAATAATCCCTATCCTGAGATTCTTTTTTTTTAATGAATAGATGCAAATTTCGGGGTATCTGAAGTTGAAAACAGGAAGATAACAGGGAAGGTCACTATATTATCGATACTCAAAAATTTTTTAAAAATTGCCTTGGGGCTGGCAGGTGGTTAAGGGACTAGACCCTCACATGACCAACTACAGTCCCAGACCTGGAAGCTCATTTTCTCACTTTTCCTTTCTTTCTCTCTCACCATATTAAAAAATAATAATAACAAATAAAATAAATAATTCTTTCAAGAAAAAAATGCCTCTGT